TATGATAATAATAGGGATAATTGCAAAAATGTCATGTACATTTAAAAAAATATCACTATAGGTTGTCTTTTTGCAAAAATACCACTAATTATAAATTTTCAAAACCTAAATCTTAAAATTCTAAACCCTAAAAAATGTTTTGACCCCTAACAAACACTAAACCCTCAAAACTATACTCCATCTGTTTCAAAATGTAAGTTGTTTTAGAGGTTTTTTTTTGTTTCAAAATATAAGTTGTTCATGATAATCCTACATATTTTTAATTTTATTGAATACTGTGTGACCACTAATATTTTGCAGTCTTCTTTATGATTGGTTAAACTATTTTTATTATATATACTTTTTAGAACAAAAGTTGTTTCTTAATATTCGCGGTTTTTGCTAAAACAACTTATATTTTGAAACGGAGGGAGTACAATATTGTTAACCCAAACATAAATGATATAATGAGTAAATAGTTTTGAAAAAGTAATATTTTTGCAAAATTTTTGAAAAAATGACATTTTAAAAAAATGTCACTTCAAAAATAACATTTTTCAAATTTTTTCATAATATAATTATACTCTTGTTAAAAAAAAAAAACACTATTGAGAGAACAATCAATCCACTCGTTTGTGTTAGTGCAATCGATCGACACCTATGGAAGTTGTTTAATCTTAATGGACAATAATCTTTATTTAAGCAATTACTGAGACAACTTTTCGAACAAAAGGTTCTACTATAGGATTGAAAGAACGTACAACTACCAAATAATAATCGCGAAATTAGTCTAACAAAGTATACATCTACCTAAACATCGGCTTGGTTAAAATATTTAGTAAAATATGTCTTCTATCTGTTTTCAATATTTTATAGAAAATTAAATTTCTGAGAGAGCGAGAATTGCGTTTGCAATTATCCTAGTCAAAAAAGTTGAAGGCGGTCTCACATTGTAATGCCCACTCTAATTCAATTCCCTATAATGTTCCACACCATTTATAATCTCTTTGTTATAATATTTGATATAAAAACATATTTGAATATATTATTAGGATAACAATATATTGTATATACTATCACTGAAGATTAATTGGTACGACGTCAGTTTGGTACTAATTCTTGGCAAGTGGTGTGTTTAGGTTCTAACTACTAGATATTGGAGTAGTATTATTATCTAACTTGTATTTTAATAGGTTCGATATTTTTTCCTCATTACTTATCAAAAGGTTCAACTAATAATACCAAATCTTAAAAGAAATTACAATATTAATGCCAAGCGTGTACCTTTCCCATTTTTTGTTTTAATATTTTCTTCTAGAAACTTTGGAATAACCTTGTAGACTTGTAGCGATGTATCACATAATTGTAATGGTGGTCATAATTCGATTATTAATTTACTTGTGCAAGTCTTTTCATGTATTCAAATTCGGAGCTCAATATTGGTTACCGCGAATTGACATGAAAGGATGCTCGATTATGAAGAATAAAGTCATATGGTGATATGGATCCAAACTTTTTAAAAGGTTAAACAAGTTTGCTAGATAAAAGACTTTGATAGACAATTGAAGAAATTTTAAATTAGTATTTGTTTACGAGCTTACATTTTGAAGGAGTCATGACATGGGGAAGAATTTAAGGTTTAGAGATTTGTAAAAAGTACCCACATGAATTGGTCTTATTTGTCCTCTGTCTTTACTGTATGTCCACTACAATTTCCTCTTATTCTAAGCACTATGTACGTGGAATAAAATAGTTTCACCAGAACAAATTTATAAATATAGCTTTACCAGAAACAAATTTATAAATATAGCTTTACCAGAACAAATTTATAAATATCCGAGTTATATTTTTACTTTTCGAATTATAAATAACTAAGACTTGAATTGAAATTTAAATAATCAAAGAACACTTTATATCAACTATATGTCCAACATATATAATTCAGGAATGTAATGGAACTAAACAGAATAGTAGAAAATCAGGAAGGATTCAAGGCATGAAATTAGGGCACGCGTGAGGTCTTAGGGCAATAGCCTACTGCGATGGGAAGCATAAGAACAATTAAAACGCAAAATTTTAGTTAAATGTTCAATGGAAAAGTGTAATACCTAGTTTAGCAAAAAAAAAAGAAAAGTGTAATACCTCAAAGATCATAGGTTTGATGTCCATAATCTTCTCCTGCATCCAAAATACTTTAAGAAACAAAAAACAAGACAAACGATAGTACATATAAATATATATGTATCGACTAAATTTTGGCAAGCAGTGACATTGTTAGTTTGTTTGTTTTGCATTTACGGGTGAATAACCAAAATAATAATAGATTAGCAATCTAACAAAAAAAAGTATGATATCGAGAGATTAGAGCCATTTGGTTAGGTAGTGAATTATAACTCTTTTTTTGGTTATCTTAGCCAATTTCCCAAGATTTCTAATCACAAGCTCAAATCAACAAAACATTGTTTTATGGTTTATCTAAATTATAGTACACCAAGTATAACATCGACAAAAATCATAATTTCGATACATACAAATAATTAACGTCTCCGAATGTTTTAAACCATTGTGTTTGTGTTTGCGAATGAATATGTACCAGTAGATAAATTTTGTTCAGGTATAAGAAAATAACATAAATTTTTAATGTTTTATATCAGCGATCTTCTGAAGTTGGTAAAAGCAACTATTAATTGCAACCAAAATTTTTTTTTGTCTACATTTGAATTTCCAAAATGACGTTTGTTATCAAAGACCAGAAAATATCAACGCAACACCAAAATACGAAACCTTTCCAAACAAAAAGGACAATTAACATAAATCTGCATAAGCCAAATTCAAGATACACTGAGATCAACATACTACAAAAGCCGCAACACTTATAGCTTCGACAAAAATGTAAAAAACACTGCATAGACCAAATCTACTCCTCGCCGAACATATCGAAACCACCATAG